CAGGTTTTCCTCTCAGGGCAATGTTTGCGTTCCCTACCACATCAGCAAGGATGGGGAAGCAGCACTTCTCACAGACGCAGTCAGTGGCCTGACTTCTCCATGCTGAACTCGTTACATATTTTGGTTACAAGACCTCATCAGAGTCCCCTTGTGTTGGTTCACACCTATAACTGCAGTACATGGGAGGCTGGGGCAGGGGTGTGAAAAAAATCGCCATGAGTTCAGGGGCCAGCCCGGTTTACAAAGGAAAGTGGAGACTGACAGTAATGATCCAACTTCATACGAATTTTGGCCAAGGTCTGTTGAGCTCAGTGGTGAAGTGTGAAAACACTGCCCTGCACAAGCATTCCTTTTTCCCGGATCAAGAATTCCACGATTGGAACAGCGGCAGCAGCAATTCCTTCAGCAACACACCACTCATTCTATGTGATGCCCCCCAGCCCAAAGAGGTTCCCTGGTTCCATGTGTAGGAATGACTTCCTCTGTCGCCAAGGCTCACAGGATATTCATAGCTCAGTAGAAAAGACTTGGAAGGGTCTGCATAGAGGGTTTAGCATGAGGATTGGTCTCTCTGGTTTGCCCCTGGTGTGCATTTGGTATGAGGTTTTTTCACCTCCCTGCAAAGGGGACAAAGCCAAGTAAATGATGTACTTAGCAGAGCGGGACCAGGCTTCCTCTCTGCTGCAAGCCCAGAACCCTTGCTTAGGAAAGTTCCGCTTCAAGCACCTACACATACTTGCCTTGCTTATGGGGTAAGTGTTCTAGTTTGCTTCTCCACTGCTGTGATGTAACACTCTGACCAATACCAACTTGGGGAGGAAAGGATATATTTGGCTTACATCTCCCAGGTCACAGTTCATCACTGAGGGAGCCCAAGGTAGGAACTCAGGGCAGGAACCTGGAGGCAGGAGCTGGAGCACAGGCCATGAAGGAACGCTGCTTACTGGCTGTTCCCTCAGTGATGAAACTCTCAGAGTGTTTGGTCACAGCAATAGAGAAGCTAACTAGTGCAGAAATTGGTACCAGAAAGTGGGCTATTGATGTGACAGACCTGGTCCAGTTGTTTGAGGAGGATTGTAGAAGTGTTTGGAATTTTGTGCTGGAAGAGCCATTGAGTTCTTAGAACTTAGTGAGCTGTTGTGGTGGAGCTCAGAACAGTTCTCCTGAAAGAGATATCGATGGAGGTCTGGCTTGTGAAGCTTCAAAGGGAAGCAGAGACCATCAGGGCTGTTTATGTTATATTCTGAATTGAGAATCTGCGGGTTCTGGTCAGCTGGGGCTGAAGAATCAGCTGTGAGTAAGAAGAGACCAGAACCTCAAGTAAAACCTTTGCTTTACTGGGACAATTGATGCTGGTTAGCTGGGGCTGAAAAATCAGCTGTAAGTAATAAGAGACCAGAATCACTGTGGTGGAGTCTTCCGGGAGGTATTTCCTCATGGTCAGCACACAGAGGGGACCTAAGCCTCTGTCTCAAGCTGGAAGCAGGACTTGGTAATGTGTAAGAGTCTCCTGCATGGTTCCAGTGTTGAAAGCGTGAAGGGGTCACAGAAAGCAGCTGAGGCTTGGCACTCTGAGAGGCCAGGAAAGGCCAGAGGTGAAAGTGCCGCTTCAGTTACAGCAAAGACCCCAGAATTGAAGGGGTCATGGAGAGAAACAGGCTTTGCACCCCAAGAGGCAAGAAGACGCCATTGGTGAAGGTGTAGTCTCAGTTTCAGTGGAGATCCCAGCTTTTTGGAGATGCCGGGACCATGGGACGACCACCAAGGACAG